AAAGCGCGGCCTACCTGTATTCTAAGGAAGGAACCACCAAGGAGACAAACAATCAAGCAGGCAAACATTACCCTGATCAAGGCACTGCCAAGGAGAAAACCACACCCCGCCCCAACGCTGGCAGGGCAATCCGCTGTATATAAACAGGGAGCAGACCCCAGACTCACCAGCACTGATGATGTTCCCTAGTCGGGTCATGAAACGTCTGCAAGCAAACCGCCAAGCTCAGGGAGCACCAAGGACTCCACAACCAATTATTTTTTCAACAGGCAAAAATAATCCAAAGGCAGCAGATAACTTCAACATCTTTAAATAGGCCAGGGCAACTGCCTTCTTGGAGGCAACCAGTGAGATTATTAGCTAGGTTTCTGGAGGCAGGGGGTCCCAGAGCCAAAGAAAGCCGTTTTTGCTGTCCTCACCCACAGCCTCCAGTGTTTTGGGCGCTCACAATGGCCTCCTCCCTGAAGGCATTTCTACCACGCATTTCTCCCCCTTCCCACAGCATTGCAACCCGAGGGCTTTGACTGCCCACCCCTAGAAAGCGTGGATGCACCCCAGTTTCTTTCCCAAACATTAAGCGTCAAGATGAGCCCCCCGCTCTGGGGACCCCTCCATGGAGTGTCCTTGCAACATTATGGATGTGGCCTGACTTTGCCTTTCACCTCCCCATCTCCCCTGGGATCTCCTGGAGGTCCCCCATCCAAGCAGTAACCAAGCCTGATCCTGCTTAGCTTCTGAGATCATCCAGGGTGGGCACGGCGCTGCCATCAGCATCACATACAAATAAAAACAGAAATATCAGCGGATGCCTCGGTCTGTCCCTTTTTTCCGCACCTGTATCTGGAGTTGCGAAACGGCCCAGAGCCCTCCCGTGGCTCCTGTGCTCTTCTGCCCCCACAAGAAACCACGTCTTCCTCTTTTTTAATGCCTGATCTTGGTCCTCCCCATTCCCTGAGGGGCTCAAGATCACGCACCGGGGTCTCCTTGTCCGTGTTTATCCTCCGGACCTTGTGAGGTAGAACTGGCTGCAGAACAGCTGATCCGAGACCCAGATGGAGACCTGAACTCACACTTCAGAGGGTTGGGCCAGCCCTCCAGCTTCCCCAGCCTGGTGCCCTGAATTTATTAGCTTTTACTTCTCTTTATTATATTTTGGTTGTTGTATTTCACCCAAAAGTTTAAAAAAGGGGGGGAGGGAATAAAGTTATAAAAGGGAATTCCTCCTAAGTGGATCACTCTGTTCTTTTTATTTATTACTATTCTATTTATTAGATTTTTATCTTACTTTTAATTCGGTGCAGCTCAAGGCAGTGTACATACCTAATGCTCCAATTTTCTCGCAACAACAGCCCTGCGAGGTGGGCCGGGCTAAGAGACAGCGATTGTCCCCAAGTTCCCAGCCGGCTTCCGCACCTAAGGAAGGACTAGAATTCAGAGTCTCCTGGTTTCTAGACCAGCACTTCACCCCTGGACCACGCTGGCTCTTTCTGGCGTGCAGCGTTCGGAGCGTCACACAGAAACGCATCCGCGGTTGACCGTCCGAATGCTCTGCGGCTCGAAACTGACTTTGCAATCCTTGGGCATTTGCTTGTTCCACCCTGGGGCAGAACTCGTGCCTTGGTCAGAACAGGAGAAGTTGCGTTTTGCAATAGGGAAGGCTCAGAGACGAGGGCCGCGGGCCGAAGACCCCCGAGAGAGAGGTGTCCTTAGGGGAAGTTCAGCCTCGCGTGCCAGAGGCTTCTAAATGCACCTGGCAACAGCTGTGCCCTGGCACAACTAAATCAGAGAGGCGCTGGGGGCTTTTTGAATACGCAGCAATTGCTCTCGTGAGCGAGGACCGTTTCTTTCCCATCACGCCCACGGCGTCGGCTCTTGGCAAAAGCTTCCGGGGGGGGGGCGGAGGGAAAGGGTGGCG